GAACATTTTATATTTACTAAATTTTCGATGAAGTATCATTAACCACATCAACAATCAACGTATTTGAGACAAAGTACCAAGTAGTCAAGAGGCCTTCCACTGTGCATCCATTTCTCCTTTTTGTTTTATATAGAGCGGCACAAGTTGAAGGGCTTCTACTTTCACTACCCATATAAAGAAGGTAATTTATACTTTCGCATAAACTTTAAATCGGAAAACCCCTACTTGGAGGCATGTAACGAAGCACTTTTTAATGACTTCATTTAAGAATGCCTACATAAATTATATTCTGGTTAGTATATAACTAAAACAAAAATGTTTATGGTTCCCGTTTATCTGAAGTCACAACGTTCAACGATATATGTATGTATATCAGCAATTCAAATCGCAACAATGGTAATCTTTAAATATCATAAAATTATTTATTACATTTGTGTTTATGGACCTCACTTCGTTTTATTACAGATGAACAATGTAAAAATTTATCGCGAGAAATTGGTGAAGATGAAAAAACAAATGCAGAATATTTATCAGCGCACCAAAGTTTTGAAGGTATGCGTTTTATTTAAGTTTTATGATTCTGTTTGCTGTTAGCGAGGAGATGAAACCTTAACAATTCTTATTTGTTGAATAGAAACGCGCATTTAACGTGCAAGTGTGCAAGCAAAAAGAGCTCCAACGCAAATTGCAAAAGCAGCAACAAGAGGAGTCCTTAATCGCCAAGCAACAGCAGCAGCAACAACAACAGTAGAATTAAGCAGCGCAACACGTGCAGTGAAACAAAATCAAAGGATTTTCGGTAGGATTTTCAGAATGTTTATGCAATATCCGTTATATATTGAAGTTAAAAATAATAATAATACTGAAAGACTTGCAATTTATTTTAGTTAATAAAGAATAGATTTTGATTATATTTTATATAAATGTAGTACCATGTATAATTAAAATACACTAATACAAAGGTTTAATAAGAAATGCCCTTAAGCATTATCATGCTTAATGTAAAACGAATACATGCTTGCAATACAATTTGCCTAATTTAAGATGAATTGTTCTGTATGTATGCATCTACTTTACGACTCAATTATTCAAAGAAATACGCTTTTTTGTGCTAAGGACAACATTTGAGCACAACGTTATAATGCTTTGGTTTTGAGCAAAAAAGAGGTATAAAGTAAAAAGCCTTAGCAAACTAAAAAGTATAATTTAAAATTCTTAACTACATTTTAAAAATGTTAAATCTTACTACACTACACAGACATGATAAAATTATTTTATAGCGATTTTATATGTAGTTAAAATAAAATTTAATTCCAAAATACAAAGTATTTAGAGACTTACTTTCAACTTATAATTAGCTATTAATGCACACAGGCGTACTACTTTGCACATAAATTAAAATAGAAATGAAATATTAAAATGTAGCTAGTGGATAGACGAAACTGCTTTCGTTACGTAAACCGCATGCAAGTTACTAATTCGTAATTTGTAATAATCTATAGCTATCAAAACTATTGCGCTAAATTTGACATCAACTATAAATGCTTATTTGTGTAGATATGTAAAATGTACAGTTCATAGCGAATACACTCAAATGCTACAATGTCAAAAAATTCAAAAATACCATACACATTTACTATTAACTAAGTACATCCACAATTCCATAGATTATGTACGTAGTTTTTTGTTGTTGTTTTTGTTTTCCTTCTAATAAGTACGCAAAAGATTCACAGCTCATAGTGAGAATAGAACATCAAAGCAAGAAAAGGCAGCTGCCGTGTGCTCAAAGCCGATATATTGCAGCTACAGACCTGCTGCACGCACACATTAGACCGGGAGAAACTGGCACACGCCATAGACCAGTTGATTACTTATAAGCAGGAAATCTTTTTTTGTTAATCGCTTTTTTTAAGCGACAATACTGTATTCTGGTTCGTTGAGCATATGCATCGCATCGTTGGGCGTCAAATATTTCACCGTTCCTGGAAATGTGTCAATGTTCGAGGAATGAGAGAAAAGAAAAATAAAATGTAGAAAGGTAAGTTTAATAAATGCAATTCAAACATTGAACCATATAAAAAAATAAATCTAAATACAAAATACATATGCATATGTACGCTAATAGATGTAACAATACGCAAATCTGATATAGTACTAATACATCTATGTATGTAGGTAATTGAATTTGTTGTCCAGACCGAAGTTTCATTTGCAGGCAATACGTTTGCTAGACTTGCTCACTACAACATTGTACTTGGAGATAAGAATTAATAGACTCTGGAATAATTGCTATACATATATTTTTATGAGCGCAGTAAATGATAAACTTATCAGCGTGGTAAGGAATTGGAAGTAATTTTGAAAATAAAATATTTAGATTGTACATATGTATGTAGGTAGTTATAACTACATATGTGCTCCAAAAGTAGTTCATTTGATAAGTTTTCTTGCTTATGAAACTCAAACAAATGATTTAATCTAATGATCAGTAATTTCTCAATTGGTAACAATGGAAGTATTCAACTGAATATAGAATTCGGAGTGTGATAAGCCTGAAGCTCATATAATTTTTTTGGATTATTTTTTCGATCTTTACTATAAAATCAAAGGAAATACTCATAATTTGCTGATTATACATATTTAGGTAATCAAAATTTCGACTCTGTTTTGAGGCATAACAGTTATATATTTTTAAGTACTAGCTAGTTTGTAATGGTTGTATCTTGATTATACATCATATGTAAACAAAGAAAATTTAATTTGTGCTCGATTTCATTATTATTGACTTTAAATAAGAGCAGCACGTCTAAACTAATGCTTGTTATATAGTGGAGACGAATTTCTCTTTATTTGGAAGGCGTTTCCTTTGAGTTTTTCGCAAAAGCTTTAGTTTTTCTGTACTATTTGATCATTGATTTGACTTTTGTTCTTCGACCATAAGCATTTGATGGTTTTTGTTGTTGTACCATCATAAAAATTCTCAAAAGGGTTTTTGGAGAATCAGATGGAGCGACGTTCTTGGCCCGATATAAATCAGGGTCGTTCTGGCTTCGTAGGCCCGACTGTCGGAGGAACATTATTTGGTTTACATATATGTATGTAATGCAAAAAATATACAAGTTAACGATACATACTAAATTCTTTGTAAATTATTGTTTTTCACACAAAGTCTAAAACAACAAACTGAAAATTATAATTGTAACTTTCACGTAAATCACAAAACGAAAAAAATAACATGCAATACATATAGACTATCAAACATATGAACTACATACTTTTCATTACAAAATACTAACTACCCAACAAACATTTAAGTTAGAGAACGATTAGAAACCGATTCGAATTCTAATGTGTTTTACCAAGGAAGAAGGTTATAAGACGATTAGATAAACTGTCGAGAATTATAGCATACTCTACAAAATGGGAACTAAGTTCTCGATATCGAGAAAAAGGTTAGTATCTAATCTCATACTAACGTTGAATTCTAATTGGTTTATAATGTATAGTATTTTTTCTGATCATTTTCTAATCGAATTCTAACATAGTTCTCTTACCTTAGCGAAACATTAGAGAACTGCATTATAATTCTAATGTAAATCAAATGTTTCTCTAACGTTGATGACTGTGTTTGCAGGGTACCTGAATAAGTATTAAGCAAGCAATCTGTACATGCAAATATTCATCTACTAGGAAATAATTTGAAATTACCTGACGAAAGCACTTAAGTGCTCGAAAACAGCGAAACTTTTACTGAACTTTTAAAATTTGTTGAAAATTTTGAGCTCCGAGCTTTCTGCTTTTCGGTGTACTCCTTATTTATGTACACATTTCAATTTTGTTTTCATTTAAGAAATGCAAATAAAAGTTTTTCTTTCGAGGAATTTAGTATTTATTCAAAGATTCACACAATAAGCACCTGACTGTTATATAAAAGTATCAAACGTCTTAAAAATAAACTGGCTAGCAGGAGTAAAGAAGAGCCCTGTTCTCGATTTGAACTTGGTTTTAGAAATAACTTATTTTAGTATAAACTATCACTGAGATAGCTTTTTTTCACTTTTAATAAAGTGATTTTATAGCATCAAAAATCGTGGGAAAAATATAAGTTCAATAAAAAACTATCTGTACATAAAAATATTGCGCTAATACTTGCTATGCCTAGGGCGTTGCTCTGCTATTCACCGTTTTCGGTGGCACTTTTTAAGTACTAAATTACTTATTATATTTTTTTTTATCAACCTTTTAAAATCAACTTAAATCCACGTCAGTAAATTCAGCGTTAACACCTTTAGGCGTTTTTGCATTTACTGTCCATATGTAACCATTTTCTGCTGGTAAATAGTTCACTTCGTGCGCAACATTATTAACTTCCGTTTGCTTACCATTTGTATCAACAGCATTGCGTTGCAAATATATCTGCACACATACATGCACAACAAATACAATGAAGGCGAAAATTCCGAAAATCAAGAAGGTTCCGCTACCGCTTACAGCGGCAAAGAGATTGCCAGCAATGAGACTGCCCATTGATACGCCCACACCTTCAAAGACTGCACCGACTAGGCCCTGCATCGAACATATGTTTTTTTTTTTTAATATCAATAAAAAGTAGAAATATAAACTCCACCCACTCACCTGCATAGTGGCCTCTGTGCCCGGTGGCGCTACAATACTCGCATACGACGCCATCGTTGAGTAGAAGATACCAAATGTAACACCATTCAACATTTCAATAGGCAGCACATACCATGGATTTACCAGCATAGAATAGAGTATGAAACGCACGCCAAATGCGAATAGCACCAAACTCATTGCATTAACGTGACCGATTTTCCTTAATATCCAACCAGAAAGGAAGAAAAAGGGTAGCTCACCACCGAAACATTGTATGCCCATGGCAATACCCTCAAGTGTTTTCATTGAATTTTGACAGCCTTCAAGTTTTTCGCCTAATTCATCCAAATGCATAAAGAGAAAGTTCCAAACGAGTGCCGTGCATAGACCAATCGAAACGCACCAAATGAAAAATATCACACAACGTACTGAAAGGAACATTTTACCGACATCTTTGAGAATGTTGGGTGAGAGGTGGGTTTGTGTGTGCTGTAATGAAAGAAAATGCGAATGAATTATTTAACGAATAAAACAAAAAATTATAGTTAAACGAATATAACGTAATTATTAATGCAAAAAGCACTAACTGATTTTTTTTTTTTGGAAAAAGTTATTTTAAATATGAGTATGCTGATATGGGACACAGTTACACACTTTTAACAAATTTCAAAACAATATCGTGAAAAGATACTAGATTTATTGACATTTTAATTAATATGGGTCGTGCTTTCTAACCCAGTCTTAAAAAAAAAGCCCTGTGCCTCTGCTATACAATTTCAAATTTGTTTTTAGGCACCTTTTTCATTAACAATATATGTAAGTATGTACGTGCATTTCATACATACCTTTAATTTCGTGGATGATATCAGGTCAAATCCAATTATCACCAAAGTCATCCAAAATACGATTGTATAGTTTTTAGTAGCACTGCCGCCAGACATTTTATCTACTAGCACACCAGCGATAATGGAAAATACACCGAAACCTATGGAGCCGCACAATCGCTGATTTCCATACAAATGATGTCGTTCACCCAATATCGAAAAGCATATGGCATCACCGATGCTCACCACCACCGCCATGCCAATCCAGCTCACAATGAGCATGATAAAAAAATACCAAAATTGATACATGCCCGTCACATCACTGTTCTTTATCGCTGCACTCTGCACCAGTTGGCTATGAAAATAATTATCATTGCATTCAATCTGACAGCTTGTATTGAATTGTGACTGTTCACGTGGACAGTTTAACGTTATAGTTTCCCCATTAATTTGACCTTGATCGTGTGGTATGACAAAGAACAGATGGTCACTTGCCATCACAATTTCGCTCATATTGACAAATGTTGTAAAGTTTAATTGTGGATTATTGCGATCAGGACAAGTGACATTACTTGTAATACTGCCGGCGCCGTTGTTATGTAGCCAGTTGTCACAAACGAAGTCCCATTGCTCAGGATTAGCTTGACAGTATAGCTGGCAAGTTAGTACGCGATCGCCATAGTAACTTTCGAGATTCTGTTCTATGCACTTATCAAATTCGGAATAATATTTGAGATCGGATGCACCACCGTGACAGTGAAATTCTACAGTAGGCAAGGATTGTGGAATGGATGGCGTAAATTGTATGAGGAAGAAGGCAACGGCGGTGAGTACTTCGCCGATAAGGAAAAGTGTTCGATGACGTTGATAACTGCAAGAGGTAAGATTTTTTATTTAAATGAGTTGCAATAGCTACAATAAGGAGTTTCAAATGATATATGTACATATGTAAATAGAAATATGTATTATTTAGGAGCCATTTAAGTCGAGTAAACAGCAAATACCCGCACTTAGTTACTTTTTGATTGGTTTTTGCAAGGTTTTGAAGAGGCGCCTAGATTTTGATCAGCTATCGAAATTGGGCCGTATGAACAAAAACTAAGCAATTGCTTTTTCTTAAACTTTCATACCGTTTACTTCAATTTTGTTTGAATAAATCGAGTATAATGTCTGATATTTAAGAAAAAGCAAATTCTTTTTTTGTTCATATGGCCCAATGTCTTTAAATTATTTCCTTTAGATGTGTTTAAGTTCTTTAGTCAGAGTGCTATTTAGATGAAGAAATTACCGTTCATTATGAGAACGGAGATTGGTATAATTGGCGAATACAACCAGCTCCTCAAAAGGATCGATGAAGGTTTGCGAAACTAAAATTTTAAAATTTGGATCTCTTTAAATTTCAAATCCGTTGAAATGATAACGACATTAACTGTATACATAGCTGCAAAAAACTATCCGGGCAAGCGCATGGTAATTGAAAAGACTTCCACAATCAATTGCTCCACTTACCGATCTGCTATAAATCCAAATAGCGGTTTCGCTAACATGCCAACGATCGGCAAAATTGCATACATTGTGCCTACCACCACTGTAGAGAAGCCTAATTGACGCGCCAATGTGGGCATGAAAGGCATTACCGGCGCCGTTCCTGAAAAAAGAATGCGATAATTGTAAATTATACAAAGACCAAAGTAATAATAGTGAGTAATAGAAAGAAGTGTTAAATTGATCACACGCAAATGTATTTAAACATCCAATTGATTTTTAATAAAGTAGACGGGAAAATTCAAGAAAAGTAAGTATCCAGCTATACTTGCAAACATGTGCATGTGAGTGCAAAAGTTTGCGAAAAATAATGTATAAGTGTGACGAAAGGAATGATAGCCACATGCGGCAAAAAATGAAATTAATTGTCACCAAGTGGTAATCGAACGTTACAAGTGGTATATTGAACTTAAACGTATGTACATATGTTTGCATTACTTTTGTCTGTATTATTAACAGTTTGGTAGCTTAAATTTGTTAAACGCTTGTTTTAGAGGTTGAAAAAGTACATACCTGCATTAAAAAAGAAATAATGCGCCTTCATAGGCAGTAGCTCCTTATCGATTTTTGGCCACATGGTTACTCGATTTCGTTGCGCTCTCGACTTGCACTTTCTGCGCGCTAATCGTGACTAACTACTAATTATGAACAGTCTTGTATATCGTTCAAGTAATCGCTCCCGTCGTGAATGAAAACTTTTTCTAAAATAATCTTTATACATACGTGTTGTTTGAAATCTAGCCTTTTATTGAAGTATCATCTTAGTATAGTTAACTTACCGTTGATAACAAAATAGTTTTGTTTTTGTCTTGTCTTGTTTTGTTTAATGTTGATACAAGTGATTAAATTCTGGTTGATTAGTGCGCGTGTTAAATGGATATAGGTAGATATGATGACGCTAATCATTACTTTAAAAATTCTTGACGAAGCTACATTTCCATCGTGCTGGATCCCTTTGTAGTCGAAAAAATTCTCCTGAAACGATTTTAAGCATTAATTGCTGAGTATACAACTATTGAACTTGTTTATTCAAAAGCTTTAAATTACATACATATTTCTGATAGCCGTGGGTTTATTGCTCAAAAAATAATAATTGTATTTGCTGAGGCGCGCACTTTCCTCGCACTTTACGACAAACGATTATAAGCGTTATGTTTAGCTACTAATGCGTCGTATCACATCGAGTAAATTGCGTTGAAATGCGGTGTTATAGAATGCACTTCGCACTTATGTATTTCTACAGTAGGATTAATTATCATGCCAATCGTTTACAGCTGATTAGCTAAAAATAAATGAAATCAGTAAATGGTTATAGCTAAGTAAAAACTGGCATTGGTCTTTTTACACTATTACTAAATAAGTTTGATTGCTTTGAATTGTTAAATGCATATTGCTATCTTTGTATCAAACGAACTCATTCCAACGCCTTTATAATTAGCACAAGAAATTATACTGTGCAAGAAATTAACTGACCTCAATTATAACTGAGTCAATTTTCACAGCCGAGTGTTTGTAGTTCTACATTTTTGTATTTATCGTGCTACGTGCATGCATAAGTCATCACTTGTTTGAATTGCACAATTTTCTCACATGGCGTTCAGCACACTTCCTTCCAACTTTCTTATTAGAATTCTCACATCTAATAAAATGATCTAACTTCCTATACATACTTACATTTCCTTTCTTGTTGCTTTATCCGGATTGTACGCGCGCAGATCAGATCGTTCGTACTTTTAACCCTTTCGTTCTTTGTGACGTTTAGTTCAATGTGTTAGTGAAATTATTAAAAACATTTATTAAATATAAAACTAACATGAACTTAAGCGGATTAAGCAACATCCTCTCTTGATTCCACGAAATGCAATGACCATGATTCAATAATACAAGGTTAGATAATTATTGACAGCTGCGGTTTGACACTCCCTTACAAAAGGTTGCATTTACGAAGGACAGAGAAAGGGCAAGAATGCGATCCCTTTTTTCGAAAATGGTAGTAGAAAAGTACGCAAAGTGGCCAATTAGTAGTGAAATTCCTTTCGTAAATTCTAATATATTTGCAGGAAATCTGGCATTTTAAACGAAATGTTGAACGTAATATTGATATATCTACGTGAATTACGTAATTTATATGCTATTTAGCCGTATAAAAACTGCAAAATGACTCAAAATTAAAATAAGACTACTATGAGATTGATGTAAACATCCAATGCTTATGTTTTCATCAGTTAAATATGCTTCATATGCATATACAAATAAACATATTGCACAAAAGCTTATACTTTTATTTAACACCAAAGCTACACTGTTTCGATGTAAATTTGCAAAGAAGCAACACGGTGCCACTGCTAAGGGAGCGGTGCGAGAGGGACAACTGTCAGTTTATCGAACCTTGTATTATTGAATCATGTGCAATGACCAAGGCAAGGCGAATTCATTCAAGGTGGTGCTGTCAGAACAGCTGATCTTTTCGTCGAGGTGGCTGTGAATGTCAAAATCATGTGTTTGTTGTACATTTGTTGTGATGCTTTCAGTGCTGCCGTTTGCTAATTTTCGAGTGAAGTGTTTCGGAGCGCTTTAGAAGGAAAAATGGAGTGATTATCGTAGTGACGAAGCAAGCAAAATTAGGATTGATTTAAAATTTTCCTCTATCCCGATGCAGGCTTCCTCCTGTAAAATTAAAGATGTATGCAAACTAAAATATATTTGATATTTTCATCAAATATCCACTAAATAATTATGAGCCTTTCATGTGCACATTAAAATAAAAATGTCGGTTAGACCAATTTGCTGCAACCAAAACTCTGATTGGAGAGAGATGCTGCCAGCAGTCTGTTGCGCAGGAATGTTGCGGTGCGTCTAATTCCACATGTTGCTGTGGATATTCAACACGAAAAACCAGTGGCGGTATCGGGAGGGACTCTTTAGTGAGCTTTTTTTGCTAAAACAATATAAAGTGATAAACACATAGTCGACATTTATTCCTTTTACATATACTTTTTTATTATGTTACGAAAGTTGGCAATTAAAAATCCTGAAATGTCATCAAATCATACAAATGTTCTTGCTGTGCAATATAGTTGCAAAGCGCCCAGTGCAATATGCTGCTGTCTGATATTCAACACGTAAAACCAGTGGCGACTTAGCAAGGAGTCTGTATTTAGCTTTTAAAATTCGGTATATTTGCTAGTACTATTTACAATTGAATAAACACATGCTTTTTATACATATATTTATAATTAAATAAAAACCAAATAAATTAAGTTTAAATGCACTTTTTAAATATTTTCGTTTTTATTTTTAAATGATTTTTGTTTCAATAACTCATCTTGCTTACTGCTAACAAATGTTGACATGATTTTAAATAAAACTGCTCCCTCCATTTTATCTTTATGAAGGTGCATACCTATACTTTCCTTGTCATAAGTTCAATTATAATGAACTTCAACAGCAAATAAAACGAAATTAAGTAAATTGCAGTAAAGTTTAAATAAGATTGAACTAATAAAAAATATAATTCAAAAATTAACAACCAATCTACATAAATGTGTGCACCAATTCAGAAAATTGGCAATTTAATCGTAAATATGGCTGTAGTGTTGTTGATAAACGTGTATATAGTTTTCTTTTTCTTGCTGCGTCATTTGAGCTATAAGTTCATCATTGATTTGATCGATTGGATGTGGTCGTCCGGAAACATGCACTGTAGGAATATCGTCATCATCGTCTTCTGATTCGGAATTGATAAATTTATTGTAATCAACTTTGGCTGCAAGTAAGCAATGAAGAAGTGCTAAGTAATTACTATTACCTCCATAAATATAAGGCCCGCAGTCCCTTTCTACTCACGTATTTTCATATTATCTATGTCCTTGTCGTCATCACTAGAATCACTAGAGTCTGCGTTCGACGATCCATATTTAAGTCCTTTTGCTTGTGCATCCTTTTGATTGGTTTGCTTTTCGTGTTGTAACAACACCGACATAATATCTTCATTCTCCCTTTTGCTGCGATTATTTGTTGAACCACCCACGTTTATCGTATGCTGCGTGGATGATTGTGCCGCTTCGTTCAAAATGGCATCGGTGGCATCATGATTGTCTTCCGTTATAACCGTACTCTCTGTCATCCAGACTGGGCGTGCCTTACGTTCGGTAACAGCTTCCTGTACATCGCCGCCAATACTAACATCAACACGCGTTTCTTCGACTGCAAAACCTTGATTACGTGTCGCCTCTCCGGACCATTGTTGACCATCAGGGCGCTGATTGAGAGGTTTGTTCAGTCTAAAGGTCGGAACAAGAGAAAAATATGAAAATCTTCATAGCATAAAGAAAGTCGAATCATACCCTCGTATTGTGTCGATATCAACAGGTTCGGGTTCAAGTATTTCCGGCGCTAACTTAATGCCTTCCACTTCCCGTAATAGATCATAAAGTGGTTGTAATTGCTCGTTAAATCGTGCCAGCATTAAACGCGAGTCTTTCTTTGGCATCGCAGAACTGTCTTCCTCCACAGGACTGCCGCAGTATGTACAGCGGAATTCGCCTGTTGTGAAATCAAAGAGTTGATCGGCTTCGAGATCAGTAAATGTTTTATCGCAGTTTGTGCATTTGAAGCTGGCACGACTGGTGGCATCACGTTCTTCTGTTTCCATACGCTTGCGCATCAAATCCAATTTATATTTGACAACATTCACAAATGTCTTATAATTAATGAAATAGTAGTTAACCTTTTGTGCTTTGCCATCAGGTCCTGTCTCCATTTTTAAACGGATCTGTATAAATTTGTCATTGCGCAAAGTTGAGATACGTGCCCGCATTTGTTTCTTTTCGAAACGTAATAGCTCTGCAATATCATCTTCCTTCATGCAAGGATTTCGCACCAACATGTCAATAATGAGCGCATCTTCGATCGAGTAAAAGCCACGGACAACCAGACGTGCCAATTGCTTTAGACTGCTTGGTACTTCGGTGACATACTTGGTTTCGGTGGCATTAGCCATTGTTCAGGAGAGCCAAATATCAAAGGCCTAAAATTGTGGCGAAAAATAACATTCTCACTATGAAAATAATGTTAGGCGCTTGCTTATCTCCGCACTAATTTTAGGTAAAAATTATTAAACTAAAAAATACTGAAAAATTGCAAATTCGAAAGACGTCACGCGCTAAAATCTATAGCTCAGAAAGTTCCGAGATTTTTGAACTTTTACGAGTTAAAAGAATAGTCCTAGACACCTCAGTTCTTACCGGCCCACTAACCCCCTTAACCCTACAAACATCCGGCACTGCTCTTTGAAACATATGCTCTGCGTCTGCGCCGCAAAACTCACCTTCAACTACAACATGTTGCAGCTACATTTACTACGCAATAAAAACACAACCTTATTTTCCACAGCTTAGCAACACGCAAGGGAGGTGGAATCCGAACGAAATTTCAGTTTTGACGCGCGCATTCGGGTGAAAACAAAGAAAAATTCGTGAAACTTACCTCGCTCGCCGATGTTCGCAATGCTGCTATGAATTTTTCGTCTTCCAAATTTTCACGTTTTCAACTCGTCTTCTAATTGAATTTCATAAGATTGTTGTAAAGCAATACATTGTGCTTCTGCTATTGGTAAATATGCTTCGATCGGTGGATTAAAAGTTAGGAAAATTTTAATTGAAACTGCAACACGAAACGCGAATACGCCGTCGCCGAAAGCAGGGTGTAGCAAAGGCATGGTGCTGTCAAAGAATGTTAGCGGCTGGTGATTTTGCTGCAGGCAAGTTTGACAACTGGCAGTGTTCACAGCAAGGTGTTGGCGTAGGTACAGGGTTATACTGCAGTTCAGAAATTTGGTGGTATAATTTCACCATGGTCGATTGGAAGAGATTTGTGGAGGAAGTGGTATTGAAAGGTTTTGAATTTAAAAAGAGGTAAACGTTAAATTATAAAAAATTGTATAAGTGAAACTAATAAATTTCAGCTCAACCAGGAGATTTTGTTTTATTTGGGAGAAAAATGTCCTAAGTAATGATATACAAAAACTTGCATGAAGTCGCTTAAAATATTTGTATTCCATTCAAAGTGCCTGCAGATATGTAGTTTATTTAATTTATCTATTTTATTCATCCATTATCTTATTTATTATTTTCATTTATTTTATTTACTTATTTATTTTATTTATTTATACAGGTTTTGTACATAGTAAGACTAAATCTTTTAGTAATACCTAGTAGAAAAAATTGAGAGCGCGAAAATGACAACTGAACTTGGACCCACTACACCTATCACAACATCAGCTATTTTTCTTACTGGAAAATAGTTACTAGTTCTACATGATCTTGCGGAGATAGCGCTAATCAACATAAGAGCATTAACAAAGTTCATTGTCTCAACGAAATGGTTTGAACCTTAGCAGTGTTGCCAGATTTTCTTTTCAAAAAACTAAGAATTTCCAAGAAAAAACTGTATTTTCAACAAAAATTGTAACCTTCCAAAACGCGGGGAGTTTTTGAATCTTAAGGTTTTTAACTGTAAGATAGGAACGCAGCTGACCCATTTTTATTCAAAAGAGGATTGCTGATTTCAAAAGAAACTTAAAGTTATATTTTAATTTATTTTTTCAAATCTAAAATTTTGA